AGAAAAGAGTGAACTTCCATCCTCCTGTTTTTCTGAATCAGGACCTTAACCCTCCATGAGGGCTCACAGCTCGGTCACCTCCCAGAGGCCCTATCGCTTTGTACTGTCACATCGGTAAAGTCTCAGTGTGAAATTTGGAGAGTATTACAATAATCCAACCATAGCAAGCAGTACAACAGGTGGCTGCAGGGTAGAGGGAAAGGAGAAGGAGAGGCCTAGGAGAGTCCTGGGCTGGGAAGGCCCTGGGGGATTATTAGGATCAGGGCAAGGATGAAAAATTGGAGACAGGCAGCCTGGGATGATTGCAGGATTGTGCCTGGAGCTTTAGAACAAGGATTGGCATTTTTTTTTTTAAACCCAGATTGGATATTGCTTAGTGAGGGCCTATGGACCATATAGATCCCTTCTCATATAATTTTCATGTCATCAGATATTCTTTTCTGATTTTTATCAGCCATCAAAAGACTATTAAGAACATTCTTAGCCTGCAGCCTGTTCAGAAAGAACCATCAGTCATTTGTGGCCCCTCTGGCCTTGTTGGTTAACCCTGGCTCTGAGGAAGAGGGTAGGAGCTTGTGTGTGAAAGCAAGGGTTTGAGTCACCCCAGGGACATTTCAGGAGTGGAAGTAAAATACCTTGATGATCCTGAGCAACGGAGCAAACTCAGTGGGCACAATGGCGCACACCTGTAATCCCAGCAGCTCCAGAGGCTGAGACAGGAGGATCAGGAGTTCAAAGCCAGCTTCAGCAATTTAGCGAGGTGCTGAGCAACTCTGTGAGACCCTGTCTCTAAACAAAATACAAAATAGGACTGGGGATGTGGCTCAGTGGTTGAGTGGCCCTGAGTTCAATTCCCGGTACCCAAAAAAAAAAAAAAAAAGTATGGGTTATCAGATTGTTAATTTCAAAGAGCAAGGGAGAGCTTAAAGATGAACCCTCAAGAATATGGTGCATGCCTGTAATCCCAGTGGCTCGGGAGGCTGAGGCAGGAGGATTGCAAGTCAAACCCAATCTCAGCAACTTAGTGAGGCTCAGTGGTTAAGCACCCCTGGGTTCAATCCAGTACCCCCACCCCCCCAAAAAAAATTAAATAAATAATATGGTGAAAAAGGTATGTATCTAGTACAGAGTAATTCACTGTGATTTTAGTTTTTAGATGATTTTTAATAAATATGTGTAGGATTATTTAAAGTCAAATACGACATTTTTTTTTTTTTTAGATGTTTGGTGATTCTCTCGTTTCAAGCTTCCTGTTCTCTGATCTCTGAATCTTTTTTCAGTTTAATTCACCCAGTTAATAAATCTCTGGCTCCTTCTGGGTTGTGGGAGGTGTGGTTCCCTGACTACCTACCAGAAGAGACCTGGTCACCCAAATGCTCTACAAAACAGATTTACAATGAATGCTTTCTTGGCAGTCCCTACCTGGAATTCTTATTCCCCAGTACTCGGAAGTGTTGAGGTCTTCTTAAGCCACCTATCAGTCCTCCAGTTGTGTTTCAAAATTCTTTCAAAAATCCATTGGGCTTTCAACTGCTGTCCTTGTGTCTCTTCTAATGTCCTTGTCTCAGCAGAAATTTGGGAGGAAGAGGCAGCACAGGTGTCTGTTTAACCTGCCTTATACTTTGAAATAAGCAACTGTGGGGCTGGGGGCGTAGCTCGGTGGTGCACTAGTCTAGAATACACAGGTCCTGGTTTTGATTCTCAGCCCACAAAAAAGAGCAGCTAATACTTCTAAGTTATGAAAAGCACTTACCACTTTTCCCTTTCCTTGTGGCGCCTTCTTACTGTTGCTGATGAATTTTATGATGAAATTTTAATTATAGTAGATGGGAAAATAGAATAAATATCAATATCTGGCATCTGAAAACGACTTTCACTTCTTTGCTCTAAAGGCCAGCCTTTGGTCAATCATTGTCAACTTGCTTTTTTTTTTCATGCCACATGAAACAGGAAAGAAAATTGATGCCATTGATTCTATTTTAAATTAGTTCTCACTGATTCTGGTTGCTTATTAATAAAAGGTGAAGTAGGATATTTTCCCCCTTATTTTTAATGTGGTATTTTAGTTTCAAGCTAGATATGAATTAGTTTAGGATTCATATCTCCATCTTGTGTAACTAGAGTCCCAACAATACATTTTATTATAAAATTAGAAAACACACAGGTATTCAATCAATGGCTCCCTTCACTTTCTCCATGGGTGCCCCAGCTACCCTGGACTATGTGCCTTCTTGTGATCCTTGACATATGATGAGGTAATTATCATTTCCTTATTATACTGTCCAACATGCATGTAAGATAGAAATTCTTTTTTTTTTTAGAGAGAGAGAGAGAGAGAGATCTTTTTAATATTTATTTTTTAGTTTTCGGTGGACACAACATCTTTTATTTTTATGTGATGGTAAGGATCGAACCCAGCGCCCTGCGCATGCCAGGTGAGCGCATTACCGCTTGGGCCACATCCCCAGCCCAGATAGAAATTCTTTACCAGAAAAAGTAAGGAGTTTCAGCAGAGGAGTTACATATACCAAGCATCTCCTTTCAGTCCCACTATGCTGACCAAATGTCAGTCAGCTGAAGATAGAAATGGACTTAAGTCTTGCTTATCAAAAAAAAAAAATTAAATATTCTTTATGGGAGGCTTATTTGAAGAATGATACCTGCATGGGGAATTCATTGCAAATAGAGGCAGATTAGGGAAGGAGCCAGGAATCCTGTGAGCCAACATCAGAGTTTCAGAAGAGAAACTGGGCACAGGGGCACATGCCTGTCATCCCACCTACTTGGGAGGCTGAGGCAGTTGCTCCAGGCTCACTTGGGGAACTTGGGAGAACCTGTTTCAACATAAAGGCCTGGGAATATAGCTCAGTGGTAGAGTGCTTGGCTGCCATGTGCGAGCCCCTGGGTTAAATACCCAACACACACACACACGGAAATTGAGGGAGGCTAGTTCAAGGTCAGTGAGAGGTGGTTTGGCCAGAAGACATGAACCTCCAAAGGACTACACGCATTTCTAGATATTAAAATGTTAACTTATATTTTGGTTAGAGGAAATGAAATCTAGGCACTTTTTAAAATATTTGTTGAGTTGAATGCACTGAAAGATTTTTTTAAAGCTCTGGTTTAAAATCTGATTAGTAGAATGTAAACCGTAATGTGACCGCTCCATGGCCGCTTGCTATTGTTAAAGAACACTGGATTAGGAGTCCCGGGAATGACTTGGTTTGAGTTTCATCTGTGCCATGTAAACCCCCACGGGTGGGAAATTGAATTGGTAACATACTGGGGGGTGCTGATGGACAAGTTTGCAAGAAAAAAGGTGGAAGTTCAATTCTAATCCAAACTGTTGTGGAGGAAGATTTAAAAAACAGTCTCTCAAATTTCTTTTACCAATCCTATTCCAATAAAGAATAGAAAAATGTTAATGAACTTTGTTGAGGTTTAATTTGCACTTAAAATAAAGACATTTTACTTAATGTATGACTGTGACAAATATATAGACCCATGTAATCTTCTCACCAATCAAAATATGGAACATTTCCATCACTCCACAAAGTTCCATCATGATTCTTCTGCATCCACCTTAGGAAACCACTGACTTGCTTTTTGTTGCTTAGATGAGATCGGTCCTCCTAAAATTTTATGCAAGTGTAATCAAATAGTATGTCACCTTTTATGGATGGTTTCTTTGACTCTGCACAATGCATTTTAGATTTATGTTGTTGACACTATCAGTAGTTTGCTCACATTATTACTGATGTTTGGGTTGTTTCTGGTTTGTGACTAATATGAATGTTTTTGTGTCTTTGCATAGACATGTTATTTCTCTTGGATAAATACTAATAGTGAAATTGCTGGGTTATTTATATGCTTATAAAAATAACTTTCAACTATCAATTTATTTTCCCTTCATGAATGTGTGAGATTTCCAATTTTTCCAACCTTTGGTATTGTTTTTTTAATTATAGCTATACCATTGGATACGCAGTGGTATTTCATTGTCTCTTTAATTTTCATTAGTCATTAGGAAAGTGATGATAAATCTTAATCATATGCTCATTGGACATCTATCTATTTTTTTGGTAAAATCTTTTTCAAGAGTTCTGCCCATTTTAAAATTGCACTGTTTACCATAATTATTTTGAGTTCTTCAAATGTTCTGATAAAAGTCCTATGTCAGATCTACATATACATGGAATATTTTATCCCAGTTATGTGGCTTGAATTTTAATTTCCTTAATGGTTTTCCCTGAAGAATAGAGCATTTTCTATTTAGTAAATCCAATTACCAACTTATTTTATGATCATTGCTTTGTGTATCCTGCCAATCAATCTTTGTCTATCCCTAGTTTTTCTTCCAGAACAACGTTGTCAAACAGAAATATCATGTGAGTCATATATGTAATTTAAAACTTTATAGCAGCCACATTAAAAAAGTAAATGTAGCTCCAGTTAATTTGAAACCATATATTTCATTTAAACCAATGACGAAAATATTATTTCAACATGTAATCAATACAAAAATGAGATAGTTTACATTCTTATTTTTATCCTGAGTTTTTGAAAGCCAGACTATATATTTTTTTACCTAAAGCATCTTTCAGTTTGGACTAACCACAGTTCAAGTATTCCATAGTTATACATGGCTAGTGTATTGAATAGGGCAAGTTCGAGATGTTTCCTATTTTCTGTTTGTTTATTAATTTTTTAGTTAGGTCTGTGTTCTAATTTGACTTCATTTTTGAGTGTAGTGTGAAATGCAGGTAGAAGTTTTTTTCTCCATATAGACAACCAGTTTCTAAGTAATTATTCATGTTCCTAGTTGAATTATTTGCACCTCTGTCAAGAATAACTTGTGGGTGTACTTTTGGACTCAGTATACTGTTCTGTGTTTACTTAGGGAAGCACCAGACTGTCCTAATTATTCTAGCTTTAGAGTAGACCTTAAAATCAGGTGGCATGAGCCTTCCAACTTTTAAAATTATTTTTTTCTTTTCTAGGTACTTTTCATTTCCATACAAATTTTAGAATTCGCTTTTCAATTTCTGCAACAAAGCTGACATGGATTTTATCTGTTGAAGAGGATTTTAAAATGACCCCACAAAAGATAAGTCTTATGTCCTAACCTCTGGAATCTGTGACTGTTAACTTTATTTGAAGAGATAAATGAATAGGTCTTTGCAGGTACAATTAGGCTGAGGATTGTGCAATGAGATCACCGTGTTGTTTAGGTGGATCCTATATACAATGACAGGTGTCCTCACAAGATAGACACGTAGAGGAGTAGATGATGTGAACACAGAGACAAAGATTGGAACATTGTGGGTACAATAAGCCACAGAAGTCAAGGAATGCCAACAGCCACCTAAAGCTGAAAGAATGGTGGAAAGATTCTCCTCTGTGGCCACTAGAGGGCACTCGTGGCCTTTGCTGAAACCTTGATTTCAGACTTCAGTCCTCTGGAGCTGAGAAAATCTTCTTGTTTGAAGCCACCAATTTGTGGTAATCTATTTTATCAGCTATAGAAAGCAAACAAACCCATTATCAGGCAGAAGAAGTTCCATTCTATTCCTTGTTTTTTGTTTATCAAATACCCATTATTTTGTTAATGTGTTTAAATTTTAGCCTCATCATAGCTGTTCCTCCTGGTGAAAACTGTTCCTGAATGTGTTGGGTCCTGACACATTGTATCAAATTATAATTTTGTCTGCATCAATCATCTTGTTCTTTATTTGATAACAAAATTTAAGAAGTCATTGAGTTGGGGGTACAGGGGACCTGTACCTCACAATACTTAGAAGGGAAAAAAGAATGATAATAGAATTTTTTCCTCAGTGATTCTCTCTACAATAGAGACACGCTGGGAGCCCTTAGGTTCACTTTGACCTTGAGAAATACTTCATTTCACTGTAGTGTTTCCAAAATTAGGAGATTTCATATTAGATCTCATACTTCTCTTGACGATTATATAGATTTGGTGACTGTGCTGTGATCTCCCACAGGGCAGCCATTGGTGTGAGCTGTACACCACCTGCCCCTTAAGCAAGGTTGCTCTGTCACTGTACCGTAGTCCTGTTATTCCTCATTGATTTAGATTTTATAGAGATTTGAGTTTACAGCCTGTATTTTAGAATCTTGTTGGAATACATTGTAATGTTGAAGCATGTGTCCCTGAGGACAGGCTTAGGGGTAAGGAACGTGTCAGCTATAAGGCAACAACTTGTGTTCAAAGAGAATTGTGGGAAAAGAGATGAAAGGGATTTTCATATAGTATATTACCTATAGGGGGCAGGAAGGAGGGAGGAAGGGACGGACTTCTGGATATATGCGGCATAAGGAAGCATTAAAAAAAATCTCTAAACCATCTGAAAGAAAGCAGAAAAACAAAAACAAATAAAAAAGCAAACCCTCACCTGCTACAAACCAAAGGGAAAAAAATACATTTATAAACTTAACCTAAAATTTGAGAGGTGATGGCAAAGCAAGGGTGCTGATGAATTGTGGCTCCGCTGGCTGTGCCGATCCCCACCCAAGTCCTCCTCCCACCCCTGTAAGACATGTTGAGGAAAAAGATGATCAGACCCAATCCTGAGAATTCTCACAAACACCCTCCATTTGGGAAAGGAGTGAGTGGGTTCCCCATGAAATGCCCACACCACTGTTGGGGCTTGCCAGAGAGAGAAGAGGGTGCCATGTTCTGGAGTTCCCTGCTACACTGAGCACATGAAGCAGGCAAGAGCTGCTCCCAGCATGCAGGGGCTGAGGAGGACACTCAGGACTTAAAGCAGCAATGGCTGAATTCCCCTGAAGGCTCCCACTAGTCTAGGCTGAATTCCACACACCCCCTTCCTCCTACTCCTTGTCTGAAATCCTTCAGTTTACAGAAAAAAAGTAGACAGAAACAGCACTCATCCCTAAAACTGAAGCCGATTGAGCTATGTACTATGAATGGAATCTAAAAATTGAAAGATCATACTATATGCTGGGGGAAAACTGTTATAGAGTAAATAGCACTGAGTCATAGCCCAGGTAAGGAAACTAACAGTATTTAAAACGATGAATTCTTCATCACCATCAGGGTACAGGTTACATAGGATTCTGATTTCTCCGCAGAAATCATTCATGTTAAAAAAAAATCAGTGAAGCAATTGCCTTCTTTTTCTATTAGGTTTTGAAAGAAGCCGTGTATTCAAAGTATTTACCTAGCTCAGTTTTTACTTACTCATAGAGAAAAAAAAAACATATTCTCTCAGATATTAAGGTAACCTAGAAGCCCTCATTAAGAAAATGGCTTGGAAAAGAAGGTAGTCCATCAGATACTAGATAAAAATAAAGAATACAGGAATGAGTAAGTTATGGTGAATCTCAAATTTTTTTAAATGTGGATTTAAGACCGAATGCCTAGGAGAATAAAGCTGCAGAGCATTTGTAAATGCTCTAATTGCTAATAAACCTAAAGTAATACAAGCAATAGAAATTGAGAGGCTGGGGGTGACGGCAGGTGGATATTTAAGCTGCTAATCAATCTCATCTCTTAGAGCTATGAGACCGTCCGAATCGGACTTAGAAACACATAGAAACTCTTCCTTGTACTTTAGTCTTTACTGAATGTGCATGGGCCTCTTTTAGGAATGTACGAATTGCAAGGGAAAAAAAGCAATTGCTTGAGCGTCTCTGTAGCTTTCTCTTAAACCCGAGTAACACTTAAAACATTTTAAATTACTTGAAGTATACACACTGTGAGTCCACAATTACAATGTTACTTCTGTCTAGTCCTTCAGTGTCTTCGTTTCGTCAGCTGTCCGAAGGGAATAACTGTGGTTCTCCGAGGGTTGGGGTGAGGATTCAATGTCTTTACCTATGGGGTGCTTAGGACAGTGCGTGGCTCGCCAGCAGCGGTGAAATCGAGGCTGCCCAAACTTCAACGCTGCACGCATAGGAGATAAGTTGGTTCAGCCTATCTCAACGTGCTTCTAGCATCTCTGGTATTTTTCGTTTATGATTTGGCTCAGGGCGACTCAGTCTGGTGGTGACTTAAGTGAACAGTCTGTGGTAGGGGGGCTTCGGGCTGAGTCGGGTCTACCTGCGCCAGCTCTGCACCTGGGCGACCTTGGCTTTGCCCACACCGATGACTCAATCGGCCAGGCGTCTGGGCGCCTGTCCTCTTCCTCCGCCCCCTGCAGCCGACCCCCCGGCTCTCTAGCGGGGCCTCCTCCTGCCACGTGACGCCCCCGCCAGGGGCCCCAGCGCCCTCCTAGCGGACGCGCTGTTCCGGCTCCCGGGCTCCGCCTGTGCACGGCCTCCTCAGCTAAGCCATCCTCTTGGCTGCCGCGGGCGGCAAAGCCCACGGCATCTGCCATTTGTCATTCAGCCCGTTGGGAACGCCCCAAGCCTTGATTTAGACGCGTCTGGGGCGTACTCCGGCCTCACTCTCCTGGCGGGCGAGCAAGCGGTCGGACGCAGCAGCCGCGCTCCCTGCACAGCGGAGCGCGGCCCGTGGCGCGCGGGGCGCTTCCCCGATCGCAGTCATGGCCGCGGAGGCGGCGCGTTCGAGCAGCCTCGCCTGAGTTCCGGGGGGCTTCGCGCCCCGCAGGGTAGGTGCCGGGTGCTCGCAGCCACGGGGCGGCGCAGGCCTGGGTGGTGGGCGGCTGGCGGCGGCATTGCCGCGCTGCGGGGCTTCGCTGCTGCCGCGCTGGGGAGGGTGTGCCGTGGCTACGTGCCGCGGACGTGACGGGGTCCCAGGCTCCTCGGGCGAAGTGCGAAACTCCGACAGATTGTCACCCGGTGCGCCGGGGCGGCAGGGGCAAAAATGCTGTCGCCTGGTCCATTTTAATGCCCATTACTGACACGTTCGCAGGTATTTGGTCTGCGGCAAATAGACTCGATGTTTAAGACCTGGCATGCGGGGCTCGCCAAAAGGCCAAGAGAGACAGGGTGAAGTCTGTTAAAAAGTCATCGTGTGGTCAAATCGTAGATGTGTGCATTTTCACCCTTGATGGGGAATATTATTTTGGATGTGTTTATGTTGTGGACTCTTTATCAGTGGTGTTCACGAAACTATTTTTTAAAACGTGGACTCCTGAAAATTTCCTGGATTGGGATAATTGGTAATGCAACTAAGGTTATTTAGTCTCTGCGTCCAACTTTAAGGACCGTAGTGGAGATTTGTACTTTATACGGAACTAAACTTATGGAATTTCGGAGGATATTTTTTCCAACAAATGTGTTACTTGTATGTTTTAAGAAACCAATAAAAATTAGAAATCCCAACTTAGGTCCTCCTTTTTCCAGGAAACCTCCTGTAACCTCTCCTGCCCAGGCAGGATCGGAGGCCCCTCCTGTGATCTTTCTGGGTCTCCCCGAGGTCCGGGTCCCTGAAGTTCTCCCCTCTGCGCCCCCTGCCTCCGCGTATTAACCCATCTGTCTTGCTGGGAGCCCAGTGGTCGCTGGCTCAGCACATGGTAAGTGATTGATACTGTTTATGACGAATGAAAAGATAAAATGTTATGATAGTTCGTGGTTTTTGCTCTGAAATAGTAAATTCAAATGCTCTGAGGTAAGAACGTTTATTTAAAGTTAAAGATCAGAAAAAGTTGAAAACATTGATGTCAGCGTCACCCGACCCAGCAGTCCCGCGCCTGGGTATTCATCCTCTAAAACAATGTTTTTGAGAATCTGAAGCCCATGTTTGTGGGTCGTGGAATTATTTAAGTGGATAATGAACTTGAATTTGTTAAACAGGACCTACCAGATAATAGAAAATGTCAGAATGTCTCAGTCATAGAGAATTTGCTTTATGATTCCGCGCCCCCCCCCCCCCCGCCGCCAGTTTTATACACACACAGATGTGTGTACTGATGTAAAACGTCATTTCTTAGTATGAGTCATGGTCAAAAAAGTTTGAAAGCCACTGCCCTAGATAAATTTTCATATATATAACACAAGAGGATGTGTACAAGAAGGTTTACTGTAGTGCCAAAAGATGGAAGCAGCCTTCTTGTCCATCTGAAGGAGAAATGTAAATTGCGCGCTGGCCATAAAACAGAAGGCGGTACAGCTGCGAATGAAATAGTTTTGCTTCAACACAGGCACGTTTCAGTGTTGAGCCAAAAAAAAAAAAAAGTTAACAGAGAATACTGTATGATATCATTTATGTAAAATTCAGATCGTGGCAAAGCAAGCCTATTGTTTAGGGATGTGCACGTAGACATTAGAAGTGGTAATGTAAATGAATACCATTAATAGCATAAAAGGCTAGTGGTCAGCTCCTGGAGAGGGCGCTCGCGTGCGTGCGTGTGTGTGTGTGTGTGTGTGTGTGTGTGTAGGAACATACCACAGGCTCGGTCATGCTGTAAATGCCTTACCTCCTTGGCCGTGACCTGGGCGATGATTATACCAGTGTTTACTTTACAACTCCTTGTTAAGTGATATAGAGGTTTATATGTTAAACTTCCACCAAATATATTAAGCTATACATGTTAAAAAATGAAGAAGACTGAATCCAGGTCTCTGAGTCTGTTAATCATGTTTTCCATCTTATGTAAAGTCTTGATCAGGTAGAAGTACCTAGGGAACTTCATATTGGTAATGTTTTATTTCATAATTTCTCTGGTGGCCATATCTGTATTCATTAAGTTGTTTTTATACCTAAAGTAGCTTATTATATTTTAAAAAGCACTTAGAAGAAAGTCAAAATCACTTGGCATGCTCTCCTTTTAAAAGGCCACTTTTACATATTTTGTACAAAATTTGGATTATATTTTATTTAGGAATTCAAGCTAAAATCAGATTCTGTTATGGAAAATTAAATGCTGAAAAAAATATAAGAACATACTTTATAGTCCGTCACTCAGGATTTAAAAGTGCTTACGTAGCCTCATATTACTTTACCGATTTCAATTCCTCAGCCGCTCAATTCCACATTTGTGTTTCTCAACAGTGATAGATGACTTTTATATTTTATTGTTATATTATACTGTATTATATCCTAGAAAATAATATTTACAACACTGCAGAAATTTCTATTGGAAAACATGATTCTAGATGCGCAGACCCTGTTCTGTTTGTATAAACTTGCAGACAATAAACTGTAGGCATTAATTTTTTCCCTATGCCTTTTATATCTTAAAACTTCTCTGCTGTTAAACATATTCTTCAAATTCTTTCTAAAGATGTTGAAGTTTGTATTTTGTCCACTTAGCTCTTTATGTGAGGCATGCATGTACATGTGTGTATAGATGTATATATTTTGATCATCTTGTGAATTCAAGATTGATTGTCTTTTTCACATATGGGAAGGTAATTGCCCCAGTGCCAGTAATTTGCAGCACCATTCTGTCATGTATAATACCCAGACATGTTTTGTCTTATTTCTGGGCTCTACTTACGGGTCATCTGAAAATATGACAGATTTTCACTTATTGCTGCTTCATATATAGTAAATTATTCAGTTTTAAGAATTAAAAATGTTTTCCATTGTGCCTTTTTTTTCTTTGAGATTTTAAAAAGTATTCTCTAGTTCCAGTGTGGATAGTTTCTGAGCTATTCTTTGGTTACTGATTTCTAATTTGCATTATAGTCAGGAAATTTGTCTATGCTATTAATTGTTTGAAATTTGAGAAAAGTTGCTTTATGGTATCAATTACTCCTTATATGATCCAGAAGAATGCATACTCAAGATCTTTTGGTTCAAGGTATGTATTTGTGTACATACATATATATGTATAAATATGCATACATACGTATGTCACTTGTATCTATTTTTAATGTTTACCTTTCATCAGTTCTATAAAATATTATTCTTTATTTCTATTCTTTCTTTTTAAGAACTATGATTTGACTTGCATTAGACTTTCTCAGATTTAACATTTATGTTTTTAATATAGTACATGTGTATATACAAATAAAATTTTAATCCATTTTTAATTCTAATGAATACTCTTCAACCCATGTTCCAATCTTTGGCTAATTTGCATTTCTTTCCAGGTTGAACTATGTGTACAATAAAATATAAAAATAAAGTGTGTGGCTTAATGAAATTTACATACACCCGTGCGATCACCACCCAGATAAAGACATTAAACATTTTTATCCCTGCAAAAGTTCCCTGTGTGCCTTTCCATTGATAGAGCCAAACATTTGCCTCCTGCAATCAACTGCTGTCCTGATTTCAATTGCCGTGAATAATTTTCACATGTTCTTAAATTTCATATAATTGGAATTATATATTTTATTCTTTTATTCATAGTGTACTTTTGAGGCCCATTCATGTTACACATAGAAGCCATTTTGTTTGCTTCCCCCTCACCCTCCTTAAAGGGTTGGCAAAACACAACTTGTGAGCCAGTGCCAGCCCTCTTCATATTCTCATATATAAAACCTCACTGGAACATAGCCATGCCTGTTCAGCAGAGTTCAATCATTATTTTTTATTTCCTATCTGGCCATTTTCAGAAAAAGTTTGCTTACCATCTTCTATAGTAGCATATTATATGGCTAAACTAACAATTTATCCATACTCTTATTAGCGAGCATTTGAGTTTTTTCAATGTTGGGTCATTATTAATTGCTACAAATGTTCTTAAAATTTCCATTGGTGAACATATATTGGGTATAGGTTGAGTATCCCTAGTCTGAGAACCCAAAATCTTTCTGAAATATCCAAATGCCAAACTTTTTGAGCAAACTTTTATGATGCCACAAGTGGAAAATTCCAGATCTGACCTCATGTGATGGGTTCTGGCCAAAATGGAGGTATACTAAAAATATTGTATAAATAATCTTCAAGCTGTGTAAATAAAGTACATATGAAACATAAATGAATTTCACATTTAGAGTTGAGTCCCATCCTCAATGTATCTCATTATGTATATGCAAATATTTCAAAATAAAAAAAAAAACCCAAACACTTCATGTACCAAGCATTTTGAGTAAGGGATAGATACACTTAACTTGTATACATCAAGGAACTGAATTTATGGTCTTTAAGGTAGGTTGGTTGTATTTCCATGAACATTAATAATGTTGAAAATTTTTAACTTTATTGGTTATTTGGGGTTTTTTGTGACATACTTGTTCAAATATGTTGCCAATTTTTAAACTGGGGTAGTTTTTTTGTTAATGAGTTTTAGTTCCTAGAATATTCTGGATAGGAATCCTTTGCCAAGTACATGTTTGCAATGTGTTTTCTACCCTGAAGTTTACCCATTTAGTCAGTCTCTCTCTCCTCTTCCCTCTCTCTCTCTTCCTCCCTCCCTTCCTCTACCCCCACACACTGCCCCACCTTTTTTTTTTTTTTTTTTGGCACTAGGGATTGAACCTGGACTCTTAACCACTGAGCCACACCCCTAGTCCTTTTTATTTATTTATTTTTAAATTTTGAGATGGAATCTCACTAAGTTGCTCAGGGCCTCAATAAGTTGCTGAGGTTGGCTTTGAACTTGTGATCCTCCTGCCTTAGCCTCCCTAGCCTCTGGAATTATAGGTGTGTGCTATTGCATGGGGACTCTCCCATGTTTGGCAAGCATTCTACCACTGAGTTTCACTCCCCAGCTTGTTTAATCTCTTAATGGTGTCTTTTAAAGTTTTTTCTTTTAAATATTTTTTAGTCATAGATGGACCCAGTACCTTTATTTATTTATCTTTATGAGGTACTGAGGATCAAACCCAGTGCCTCATACTTGCTAGGCAAGTGCTTTACCACTGAGCCACAACCCCAATCCCTCTTTTTAAGTTATTTATTTATTTATTTTTGTACTAGGGATTGAACCCAGGGGCGCTTAACAATTGAGCCACATCCCCAGCCCTGTTTTATATTTTATTTTTTGCGGGCAATACTGAGGATTGAATTCAGGGGCACTTGATCACTGAGCTATAGCCCCAGCCCTATTTTGTATTTTATTTAGAGATAGGGTCTTACTGAGTTGCTTAGCAACTCACTTTTTGCTGAGGCTAGCTTTGAACTCATGATCCTCCTGTCTCAGCCTCCTGAGCCACTGGGATTACAGGTGTGCACCACTTTGCCCAGCTTAATGGTGTCTTTTGATGAGCAGAATTATTTCTGTGAAATCTAGTTATCAGGGATGTTTTAGGGGTGAGTAAAGGATTAGATTTTGTTTTCCATATCCTGCTCACAAAATTTTCTCCCACCCTCATCATCCTCCTACCAGGGTCTCAAAAACCCTAAAAACTTCTGCCTACACTTTCCTTTCTTCCAGACACTGTAGTCTATGATGATTGCCAGTTGATTTTTATGTATATAAGGTGAGGTCAAAATTTATTTTCCAGGGGCTGGGGTTTTTGCTCAGTGATAGAGTGCTTGCCTAGCATCACATAAAAATAAATAAATAAAAGTAAATAAAGGTTAAATTCTTTAAAAAAACAAAAAAGATTTTCCATGTGGACAAACAACTGCTTTACACATTTATTGAAAAAAATTTACATTGAATTGCAGTGAGGCCTC